TCTATAATATCCGGGAAATATCAGCTTCTGGTTCGATCTAATCGGCCGGGTGTCTGTCAAAAGCATATTGAGTCGCAACCGACCTCCAGCGCCCCAACTGCTTCGAAAAGTGTGAAGTATTCATCTTTGACAAGCTGGCCAGTTTTCAGTTCTAGTTTGAGGTAGAAATGTAGTCAGCGAGAAATTCACTTGAGACAGTGGAATAATACAAGGGCGGGCAGCAAAGTGGAAGTCGCTCACTTGAGGCAGCTGATGTAAATTCATCGGTGATGTCGCGCGGGACTACCGACTGGGTGACAACCCGCATTGTCGAAACAGGGATTGTGTCGTTAGGCAGCATGTGAAACCACGATCATTTGCAGCCAGCTGCCAGATTGTCTGGGTCGTCTATAAAGGAGGATTGCTCCAACGGGGAAGGGGAATGGGAATGAAGCAGACCGAGAGCGGGCGAGGGGAGGGCGGGGAGTCGGGCGGACAGGGCAAAACTTGCGGGAACACAAGCCGCACGCGCTCAAGCAGAGCCGTCGAGTTCAGGAACCCATACTCTCGCAGGCACAAGAACTACATTGTAAATAAGCGGGCCTGCTAGCCAGCTAGAGAAGAGCGGCAGGAAGAAATAGTTCTTTTCTATTTAGACCTGATCAAAGGGGCCAATATGCTACAGAGATCTATCCCATTCCTGCCCATGGCTTCCACCCGAGACCTCAAACATCCTTCATCCAGAATACATCTTCCGGACTTCTTTCACACACTTTCGGGACGGGGTATTTATTTCGACTCGGCCTGAGCAGCAAGAGCCTCATCGTTGGCCTTGGCGAGGGACTTGACTTCACCCTGCTTGCCGTTCTATATCCGGAACCCGATGGTCAGTCCAAACCGTCCTCATCCATTGCACTTGGCGAAGGGTATGTCAGGAGTTTATATACGAACCTCCCACTTGGCGAAACGCAAGTCCATGTTTCCGCGGCGCTCAGCAGCAGCACGGGGACCGTCCTTGAGAGACCTGCGGACCGCGCGAGCGGCAACGGTCAAGTAGCGGTTGTAGCTGTAAAAGTCAACCAAGACGTCAGTCAGAGGTCCAGAGCAAGCAAAACAATCAAGAGCAGGAGAATATCATACGTGAGACCAGCAGCTTTCCAAGCGAATGCCATTTTGACGGTGAGGGTTAGATGAGGGGATTCTGTTCAGGAGAAGGAACACTTGCTTGGGGACGCTTTGCAGACGGTCGAGTTCGGAGGTTCGGGAAGGTCGGGTCATGTGACACACGTGACTGACACGTCTCGACGGAACTTCCCCATATCTCCGGTTTAGATCTTATATTCTACTGTGTTTCACCTGCAAGATCGGTTGGCAAAATAGCAGACACTATCAACTTGACTGTGTCTTTTCAGTACTCAGTTCAATTAGTTACCTCCTGAAAGTAGTACAGATATTCCATCATCTGAAATGAATACCTGGAGTTATACTCGGTTCTAAGGACAGAAAGCGAGAGACGGAGAGGAGGCAATCAGTTGTTTTTGTGCAATATCAGATGGATACCAGTGAAGCTATCCACTTTGACATTGATCACTCAGTATACTCTCGACAGAGATAGCAGTTTTCGGACTCGCGGGTGAAACCCAATCAGATTGGTTCCGAGCCATATGCGAACAACCCATTTACTGGATATTCAGGAGCAACATTGCAGAATCACACATTTCTGTTGATTATTTCTTGCGGTCAAACAGAATGGTTCAGACTCCGAATTGAGTAAGGATCGAGTGCTCAGGCTCGTTCAGTATTGAATCGCGTCTCCTCAAGATGTTAATGGTCAAGAAGTAGGTACAAGGCAAAGGCATGGCATATGCATACAGCAGAAGCGTCAATACGGCTTATCAGCTGGTATAAATTTTGAGAATCATCTCTTTTCTATCTCCAGCATGACCTCTGTAACTAATATGTTATTGCTAAAGCTAGTTCCGTGAATAGGAAAATACAAAGATGGTTAATAGTTTACAAAAGTTATATACAGTTCTAAGTAGTGACTGGGTAGTCATAATGTGTTTATATAACTCTTATAGGCGAATGTCCTGATCACTAACTTTTCATAGATTACTAACTCTTATTTAAAATTTATATATCAGTTTCATGTAACTACTACTGACTAGTACTAGGCGCTAGTAGTACAGCTCATAGATGGGAGAGTCGGTGAGAGAACTAACCAACAACAACAGTAGAATGATGAAAATAGTTGTCTCTCTCTACATGAACTTCCATGCTTCTCAATTATACGGCGACAAGTAGTAGAGCATAACACCATAGACCTGATATCACAGTTCTATTCTGATAAACATACCTCTGGATTTATAAACGCGTCCGGAGCACGTTATTCTATACCATTGAAGCTTTAGTTTGGCTATTTCATATCCGGCAATGGTTGCCTCTTCCGACGACCCGAGGCGATTCCCTCGGATAGCCGGCCCCACGTGACCTTCTAGGAGCTTCTGCCGCCAAGACAATCCGGGGATCGAGAATCGCCTGGAAAATTTTCGAGACTTTGGCTTCATCTCCATCCCCATCTCCATCTCTTCCTCCATCCATTCTTCTTCTCCTTCTTCTCCCTTGACACCCGTTCTTGCTCTGGGAGTTCTGGTCGGGTTACCCTCGATCTAATTGTATTCTATTGTCCTCTCTTCCCTTGGTTTCTGTCTTGTTTTTCATAACATCCCTTCAAGATGCAACGCGCTCTCTCTTCCAGGACTTCCGTCCTGTCCGCCGCTGCCAAGCGTGCTTCTTTCCAGAGATCCCCCGTCAGCCTGCAGCAGCAGCGTTTTGCTCACAAGGTATGTCTCTTAGCTTTTGCATTGAGCTGCTTTGCTGGAGTTCTCGATGGCACTGTCTCGAAGCTTGCTCACACCTTTCTAGGAGCTCAAGTTCGGCGTTGAGGCTCGTGCCCAGCTCCTCAAGGGTGTCGACACTCTTGCCAAGGCCGTCACTTCTACTCTTGGACCCAAGGGTCGCAATGTCCTGATCGAGTCCCCCTACGGTTCCCCCAAGATCACCAAGGGTATGTCCTCTCCCCGATCATATTAATAATACGGAGCTTTGCGGATCGGTCGTACTGACGGTAACAGACGGTGTTAGCGTTGCCAAGGCCATTCAGCTCCAGGACAAGTTCGAGAACCTAGGTGCTCGTCTTCTCCAGGATGTCGCTTCCAAGACCAACGAACTTGCTGGTGACGGTACCACCACTGCCACCGTCCTTGCCCGTGCCATCTTCTCCGAGACCGTGAAGAACGTTGCCGCTGGCTGCAACCCCATGGACCTCCGTCGTGGTATCCAGGCTGCCGTTGACGCTGTTGTCGACTACCTCCAGCAGAACAAGCGTGACATCACCACCGGTGAGGAGATCGCCCAGGTCGCTACCATCTCCGCCAACGGCGACACCCACGTTGGTAAGCTCATCTCCACCGCCATGGAGAGAGTTGGCAAGGAGGGTGTTATCACCGTCAAGGAGGGCAAGACCCTCGAGGATGAGCTTGAGGTTACCGAGGGTATGCGTTTCGACCGTGGATACACCTCCCCCTACTTCATCACCGACGCCAAGTCCCAGAAGGTTGAATTCGAGAAGCCCCTGATCCTGCTTTCTGAGAAGAAGATCTCCGCCGTTCAGGACATCATCCCTGCCCTTGAGGCCTCCACCACCCTCCGTCGTCCCCTTGTCATCATTGCTGAGGACATTGAGGGTGAGGCTCTCGCCGTCTGCATCCTGAACAAGCTCCGTGGCCAGCTCCAGGTTGCCGCTGTCAAGGCCCCTGGCTTCGGTGACAACCGCAAGAGCATCCTCGGTGATCTTGCCGTTCTCACCAACGGTACTGTCTTCAGCGATGAGCTTGACATCAAGCTCGAGAAGCTTACCCCCGACATGCTCGGTTCCACCGGTGCCATCACCATCACCAAGGAGGACACCATCATCCTCAATGGTGAGGGCAGCAAGGACAGCATCTCTCAGCGCTGCGAGCAGATCCGTGGTGTCATGGCTGACCCCACCACCTCCGAGTACGAGAAGGAGAAGCTCCAGGAGCGTCTCGCCAAGCTCTCTGGCGGTGTCGCCGTCATCAAGGTCGGTGGTGCCTCCGAGGTTGAGGTCGGTGAGAAGAAGGACCGTGTTGTCGACGCTCTCAACGCCACTCGCGCTGCTGTTGAGGAGGGTATCCTCCCCGGTGGTGGTACTGCCCTCCTGAAGGCCTCCGCCAACGGTCTTAGCAACGTCCAGACCGCCAACTTCGACCAGCAGCTCGGTGTCAGCATCATCAAGAGCGCCATCACCCGCCCCGCCCGCACCATCGTCGAGAACGCTGGTCTCGAGGGCAGCGTCATCGTTGGCAAGCTCACCGATGACTTCGCCAAGGACTTCAACCGTGGTTTCGACAGCTCCAAGGGCGAGTACGTCGACATGATCTCCACCGGTATCGTCGATCCCCTCAAGGTTGTCCGCACCTCTCTGGTTGACGCCAGCGGTGTTGCCTCCCTCCTCGGTACCACCGAGGTTGCCATCGTTGAGGCCCCTGAGGAGAAGGGCCCTGCTCCTGCCGGTGGCATGGGTGGCATGGGCGGTATGGGCGGCATGGGCGGTGGCATGTTCTAAGCTAGCCCCCGTTCTCGTGTAGCCTTCCCCGTTCCTTGTTTCTAAAGAGGTTTCCCTTCCAGCGTGTTGTTGCATAGTACGGGCATTGTCCTGATATGTTTTTTTCTTGGTTTTCGACTATCTCCTTTGTCTCTAATGTGTTATACGTCTTTGGTCACCTAACCACATCCTCTTTTACCCGACCTATCCTATTTCCACCTCTTATATCCTCTCCTCCCTTATCATCTCCACTCCGTTATATTGGGCACAAAAAGTCTCAGGGAGTCCTGTGTATCATACCATGTACTTTATGTGCTCCACGGCCGTTTACTCTGCCGTGGTGTTTTGCAATTTCATTAATTAATTGTTCATGAACATGCTTTTGCCTTCGCCATAACGTAGTGATAAAATGTCATTGCCATCCAAGTAACATACGAGATACTGTAGTATCATGATGATACCCATCAACAATATCGGACCTAAATTTACTGCCACCCAACATCAAAGCGATGTCATACATTCCCATCTATAAAACAAACACCAAGCCCAAACACATCAAATCTCCCAACCTCATCTATCCACACCCAAATACCCACCTCTCCATCATCTTAAGTAATAAATAACCATCTATCTATCCCACTCCCCACTCCCTCCCCTTCTCCGCATACGGATCCGTCCTCTCCCTCTCCACCTCCCCATCCACCAAGACCGGACGCCCCACACCACCAGCACCACCCATCATCTTATCCTCATGTTCCGACCAAATATCCTCCCCCGACTGTTGTCTCTGTATCTTATTATTCCGTCTATATTTTCCCAGCCCACGACGACCCTTCTTAGGCTGCATACTCCCAGATTCAGGCTCAGGCCTCTTCGTACCCGAACCTGAGGCCGTCTTTACCTTCCTCCTCCTCCATTGGAAGAGTAATGTGACCGGCGCGAGGAGGAAATCTGCGATTATATTTAGGACGAGCTTTTGGGCGCGCCAGAGGGTTTCGCGCAGGCGTTCGTTGAAGGCTATTAGGAGGGCGAACATGATTATTGCGAAGGAGGCGGGGCCTATATTATATTTAGTGTTAAGTTGGGGATATGGGTGAGGTATTAAGGGAGAGAGCGAAAGAGAGAGGGGTAGTAAGGATATGTGTACCTGATATGTATAGCATCTGGCCCAGGGTTAAGTTCTCTTGTTCTCCGCTCCATTCACGGGCATTGATGCCGAATAGGGAGGTGAAGAAGGAGAGGGGGAGGAAGCTGGATGGATGGGTTGTGGGTTAACTATGTGAGTTCGTTGGCTGGAGGTATGTGTTTGGGAACTGACATGATGGTGAATATTGTAAAGACCATTACGGATCGTGATTGGTCTTGAGTTACTTCTGCTTCCCAGCGGGCGAGACGGGACTCGTCAACGCTGGCTTGCTTTTGTTTGAGATCGAGCAGGTTTTCGACCTGTTGGTGGGTGTCAGTTTTAGATCAGTCTTGGAGAGAAGATTGGTGAGAGCGTACTGCTTTCTGTGCAACTGATGCGTTCTCTCGCATTTCAAGGACTTGGTTACGGTACTCTTCCAGTCTTGATAGGGCTGATTCGATGAATGCTTGTCCGCAGCCTTTGTGTTCGAAGTAGCTGGACATGGTTCTCACTGTATTTGCTTGCTGCTCGAGGAGTTTGAGGAGGGTGCTTAGTTCGTCCACGATGTCTCTCAGCTCTAACAATGTGGAGAGGTCTTCCCGGTTTCGTCTGGCTACTTTATTATCCCTCTCATCGCGCTCTGCAGCGGACATGGGCCTGCCTTCAGCGTTCTTGTTATAGTCGGCGGGTCGAGTGTTGAAACCGCGATTTCGGAAACGTTTGAATGATTTGGTCACGATTTCAGTCTGATTTAGTTAGGATATTTACTACACCAGAGGGGTAAGGGTCCTCACAAGGATGCTGATAGATTCTTCGAATATCCGGAGTATCTGCAGGTCACGGTGCAATGTCCGGTCCAAAAGAACGGTGACTGCATGTAGCACGATTAAGGAAGCAAGGTCGCCAGCTGTTTCGAAGCGTCTTGCGAGGTCTCCATTAAGCTCGTTGTATATGCTGCTATAGAGATTTGACTGTTCGTAAAGTTTGCCTTCTGCCGTCGTAGCCTCCTGGTTGGGGAAGAAAGTGACGACTGTCTTCTCATCGACAATCCATAGCCAGAGTTGATCGACCATAAGGACCTTTCCATCCATGAATGTGTTTTTGGTGTTGGTGATATCATCTGCTTCGGCGGGAATTCTTATCTCGTCATTAAGATTAACGACCTTTTTCGTCCGTTTCCAGAGCATCTGGTCATCGTCTCTTGCCACGGTCGATCGTAAGTTAGGATATCCGAATTGGTCCAACGTTCGCCGGATATGAATAGGCGGTTCACTGCCGAGATATCTCCAGATCAACTTTGACTCCAGGCTCGCTTGGGAGATGTCATCTGGCACTGGTCTGAAACGCCCTTGTCGCAATCTGTCTTCGACAACTTTACGCCGCTGAACAAGATTCCAGTAGGTATCCCAATGAAGCTATGCTGTAATTAGCACAGAAGACGTGCATGCAATCTTACTCGTTTGTTAATACGTACATATGGTATCTGTTTAGAAACGAAGGGTGAGCATCCTGCTTGTTCCTTAAAGTGGTAGACATACGTATAAAGCTAATCTAGGATCATGATACCCATCCATAGTCTCGGAAGACGGAGGCTCGCTCTGTTTGAAGTAAATACAATTGGGTCTCACATAGCGAGCGTGGGGTTCGAGGTGACGAGCTCTGATGAGATTCGAGTACCAGTATTCGTCATTGATGAATTCTTCCACACTAGATACGTCAGAGAGAGGTCTAGATATAATGCGATCTGCAGAACTACCTACAATCTCTGTCTGTCATGGTCCCCACAAGCCTTGGTAAGTATAGCTGGTACCCATCCAGTGTGGGTATAAGGCACATGAATCCAAAGAAGCTTCTCGCTCCCTGGCTCTGGCTGGTCAAATCGTGGCATCTTCCGAGGCATCTCGGCCCTCTGCTGATCGACAGTATCTCGGGAGGGCGGCGGAATCGGTAGGAAGCTTTTGTACCTGGGAGGACTGGAGGTTGCCCTTCGTTTGGCTTCTGTCAATTGTCTAGCTTCACTGGCGGGAGTCGATTCGAAACTCACGTAACATTCCCCACGCCCGTCTCGCTTTGGGTTGCATCTCCTGTCTTATCCTGGGGTTGCGAGTCAGATATCTTTACACCTTGACTTAATTCTGGCTGTACATCAAAGTAGTCGTGAACGGCTGGCTCAGTAATATGGATCTGAGGAGATATATGGCCCAAAAAGCTGCGACTCTTCTTTATTGAGGGTCTCTGAGGAACATTTTCAGGCCTGTTGGCATCCGTTACAGAGGCATCCCTTGGGTGTAATATGCCATCCATTGACGCTCGAACCTGAGCAGAAGTGGGTCTGCTGTCAAAGCTGCTTATAGAAGAGTCGTCGTAGATGCTCGCTGGTATTCCGGCTGTCCTTTGAAGCCTAAGGTTAAGGCACGAAGAGGGTCCATTGGCCAAATACTCGCGGAGAGACGCTTTAGTTGACCATAATGTCAAAGGGGTTTCGTCACTAATGCCACGCGCGGTGTCTTCGAAAAAGCCATTTACCTGGACCATTACTTCCAAGTCAACGTCTAATGGGGCATCTGTTAGCTTCGATAGATGAATAGCCACGGTAACAGATTCATGTAGTTCATCTATGAAACTGATTCTTGTTGTAAGCTCCTGGCCCTTGAAAGCCGCAGTGCCAACGTGGTCAGTAGCCAGAGGGGTTTCTTTCTCATGCTCAAAACCAAGAATACCGGATCGAATGGACGTGATGGGAACATGCATGTCTATGGTGGTTCCAGCCTCGGAGTCGGCAATACTTAAAGTCGAATCGACGGTCTCCAGGTAGGTCCAAAGCTTGATATCTGCCGATATTGCCTTGAATTCGCTCGAAAGACGCAAGAGGTAGGAATGCCTCGGTTTGAAGAGCTCCTGAATGCGAGGTGGGATGCGATGTTTGAGTCTCATCAAGCGCTGAACACTTTTGGTGAACTCGGGAGCCGACAGATAAGTCGAGCCGTGATGCGGAGTCGCCAGAAATGCGATGCCATAGCAGCTTGACAGGATCGAACCAAGTCTGGATGTCAGTTGGCTGGCTATTACAAGCGCTGCTTTGGCGACAAGTCCGCCCGTGCTGTGACAGATGAAGAAGATAGGGCGCCTAAGGCTCTGCAGCGTAATATCAGGGACCGTGCTTTAAGTCTGGCACCAGGCTAATAGATGTACTTACAGTTGCCCGCCGTTCCTCTAGAAGCCATTTTAACAACCGGTGAGCCAGTGAGTCCAGATCATCTCGAGAGTCAAGGTGTCCATGGTCTGCAAATAAAACCCGAGCGGTTGGGATGCATCTGGTTAACTCGGTAAGAAGCCACGGCGTTTGTGAATACTCATCGAGCCATGTCCTCCCGGGGTCCGCACCAATAGCTGGCACTGCAACGATACTAAGATTTCCCACGGCATCAGTTTATCTATCATGATGATGGTGGGGAGACGCTCGGACTTACTCCACTGCGGATTCGACGCGCGGGTGTTGTTCACCGTTGAGCGCATTGTCGGGGGCCATTTTCACATTCGCTCCGGTGGACAGAGGGTTGAGACATCTTGTCTGAACGAAGTGGGAAGATGCGAAAGTGAGCAGTGCACTGCTTTGACTCAGAAGGTAGACGAGCCTCATCATCTGACACTCTCTTGATCCACCCCCCGGGCAGGTGACTGTCTTCGAAGATCCTCTCAGCCTTACTTGGCAGATCCTTGCTAATAGCCGTGAGAATCCCACATGAGAGTAGCCATGGTCGCTAGGAGATATGCAAAAGTGACTAGCTCACTTTAAGGGAAAACTAGAATGATCTATAATATTTGTAAGTCCGCGCAAGTCATGCAGAAGACAGTCCCATCCAACTAGTACCAAAAATTCTTCTAATCTTCCTCTCTAAGGATTGACGGAAACTCTTTGCGGAGATAGCATAGCGATTGTGGAGAATGTAGACCTGAGGTCCTGGTAGAATATTTATACACAAACTATATCAATGTGATTGGAGTGAAGATTTTGCTCGCTCGTAGCAGATACAGAAATATACATGGTTTGAAGGACTTTTGGGTCCAGGAACAAAACCTCCCTTTTGGTCTTACACAAGACAAATATAGGAGCAAACCGCTGGAGAGTGAAAAGAAGATATATGCAAGGAAATATTTAAGGCGAGGGAGAAGAACGGTAAGACAGAGAAAGAACTGCAAAGGAAAGTTCTATCGGGAACAATTCGGTATCATCAGACATGAATGAGAAACCAGGAGGCAAAAACGCAGTGCACGCCGATTTTATGCAATAAAACAGAAACAATTAATTTCTGCAAGTAGTGGAAAAATGCAAGCTGCTTGAGATCAAGCTTCGGGTATTTCGGGTCTTCCTGTAATCGAGAACGCCGGTATATGTCGAGCCATATTCAAGGAATAGAAGTATCTTCTCTTTTGTGGAGAGGTGGATTGATGAATTTCTTTTTCTGTTTCACTCATCTGCAGAGCGACTCCTCTCGTTGACGCCCCGTGCCATCTTCTTGCCGAACTCGTACGTTGAGATCATAATGGCGCAAGCTGGTGCTACCTTCAAGCAGCGTGCAACACATCCGCGGAAAAGTCCTGCCATACCCTCCTCACGGAAAATGTGTAGCAGGAATTTCGGTAGGGGAAGCTGTTCGGGATGGAGGACTCCGCCGGGAACATTGCCCGCGGAGCCTGGCACATCACCCATGTGTCGGAAAACTTGTTGGCGAGTCTTGCCCACGTCAAACGGAGTAGTGACAAATGCGGCCAAGGATCCAGAGCTAGCGCCCGCGAAGAAGCTGTCAAAGAAGGTCGGCGTATCGAGGTCGTGTAGATGGTGCTGGCTGGCAGAGGACCCGTGTGGCAGGCCGTGCAAGTAGGATCTCTTGCGCGTTTCAACGAGATATTTCTTGACCTCTTCATAGCACCACCAATAGAGACCAGAGAAGGGCACATCACGCCACATGGTAAGCGTCAACCCTCTCCATAGCGAACTGTAACCTTGCGTTTGAGCCATATGGTAAAGACCCTCTAGGGTAGCCTTGAAATGACCCGCCCCAGTGCCAGGAGTAGCTTGCAGACGTGTTCGGAACATCTCGATGGGACTGATTAGAGATGCTGCTGTGGTTCTGGCAACGGAGCCTGCAACGAAAGGAGCGTAGGCGTCAGGAAACCACCGCTTGATCAGGCTCCTGTCATCGGTCCGCAGCCAGTCGTATCCAGCGAAGTAGATGATGTTCCCTGGAATGCTCATCATCAACGTAGGACTAAGCCCGCGCCAGAGGGTGAGCACACCCTCATTCCGTGCGATCTTCCGCAATCCGTCCAAGGTCGATGTAAACGTCTTGCGCTGCGTTTCTTCCACGGCGCAATCCGCCACCGATGTAGCCCCCAAAGCCCCGGCCTCAGGTCCGACCATACATATCTGAGAATTTTGGCCAATCCAAAAAACTTCTCGACAGCAAGCTGTTACTCCAAGATTGGGGGGAGCGTTCTTCAGGGTTTGCAGTGTGTGTGAGTTGAAGGGCGATGTGTTTTTGACCAGCGACTGAGACTGTAGACGAACTCGAACGACATCAAGAGGTGTAACTAGACAGCAATATTAGCATCGCACGCTTTGGAAACCCAGTCACAACCTTGCCTACCTAGAATATTCGTAAGGAAACTGCCGATGGTGGCCGAAACCATCCTCTGGGCGATCGAGACATCCTCCGTCTGCTGCATGGCGCTCGGTGCCGGAACTGAGCCCGTTCCAGATGTAGCCGCCATTGAGATAGTGTTTTTAACTGATGGCCATGACTCTGCGAGATTGTTCGTGGGTACAGTGCCGCTCAAACCGTCGGAGCGATATCGGTCCCCGGGCGCAATATCAGTTGTGGTAGCGGACATTCATTCAACGGCAGAGGATAGGAAGAAGATAGAGATGCGGATGAATTGTGCACGCGCGCCTCTGCTGCTAAATATCGCTATGGGGATTGATGGCGTGGGAAGGGAGGGATCTTCAGCAGACGTCAGAGGGGGGCAGCAAATGCGTCAGAGAGAAAAAGAGCGATCGGGGCTCGGAAGGTTTGGCGGTGGCGCGTGGAGCCGAACAGCTTGAATGGAAGTGCCGGAGATAAGCACTTGGTTCTCTTTCGCCCTTCTCTTGCCTCTTCCACTGACACAGTATCTGACTGCTTTGTCGTTTGTTAGACTGTGAAGGGAAAAAAGACCTACAATGGAGTGTTGAAGTCGTACTCTGGATTCTCTCCTACCTTTTCCTTTTCCTTTCTCTGCTTTCCCTCTGTCCATTTAGTCGCCGAGTCTGCAGGTCCCGCCCGAGAGATAATTGCTTATCAATCGCGGCGGACCCAGATCGCCGCCGCACCCACTGCAACCAACTCCCCTAGCGGCCATGGAGGACAACGCGGAACTCGAGTCGTTTCGGCGCCAGTGGCGTGAAGAAGTTGCGCGCCGGGTGAAGCCATCGAGACCTCAACCAGCGCAGCCCAGGCCAACCAAGCCCACCGCAACCTCGTCGAGCCATATCCCGCCTACCCACCACGAAGTATCGGAGCGCAGGGAAGAGGAAGACGGAGGAGTGGCATCGGTCGATCATAGTGAGATTGTTCATGGAGTCGGTCATTTGAGCTTAGGGGTAGCGGATGAGGATGTGTTTCACTCGCGAGTACCTCGAAGTGAGCCCAAGTCTGCATTGGAGCACTTTGAAAGAGCGGTCGAGAAGGAAGCCGAGGGGAATCTCGGAGACAGTCTGCAACATTATCGCAAAGCTTACCGCGTAAGTAAATATCTTCGCTATATCAAGGGAGCTCTCTCTGACAATGCTGGGTACAGTTAGATGCAGCGGTCGACAAGACGTACAGAAACAAGCATTTCGCCTGGGCATGGAAGAAGGGTGCGCAGCCACCTGCTGCCAATGCTGCGGCCAGCAATGCCACGGCAACACAACCAGCTGCAGATGAACCCGAAATTATACCCACCCCGGAACTCATCGCTTCATTCGCTCATCTTCCTATCCCGCAGGCCGAGCCCCTGATCGAAAATACTCCTCCGCCCCCTTGTCCCATCTCGAAGGTCCCGTCCGAGGTGCTGGTCGAAATCTTGAGGCATGTGGCTGTGATAGATCCGGCCTCGTTTTGTCGGATGGCGCTCGTTTGTAAGAGATTGGCATATCACTTTGCACATGAGCAGCACATCTGGAAACGCCTTTGCCAGGGCTCCGAGTTCGGATTCAAGGCCATGCACTATTCATTTGCTTGTGATGTCCATGGCATACCGGAGTACACCTTAGGGCCACGCTACACGCCTTTTCCTCGATCAATGCCCGTTCAAATCCCGAAACCATTATCGTCCTGGGCGGAAGTATTCCAGATATTCCCTCGGATTCGGTTTACGGGCATCTACATAAGCACTGTGAACTACACCCGTCCAGGTGCAGCCTCGGTGTACCAGAACACCTCGTGGAACAGCCCCATCCACATTGTGACCTACTACCGCTATCTCCGCTTCTACCCAGACGGGACAGTCATTTACCTACTCACCACAGTCGAGCCATTGGAGGTTGTGCCCTACATCAGCAAGGAGAACGTCAAGGCTGCACGGGCAATTTCCCAGAAGCAATTCCATCGTCAAATGGCAGACCCAGGCAATACCATTACGGGTCCTACCGATACCATTCCTCCCATTGCTATGGGTGCGCTGAGGCAAGCTTACCGAGGTCGCTGGCGCTTGGCCAAACCGGCTCCCGCCTCTGATTCAGCCGACGACGTTCCCCAAGACGATCTTATCTCCGGATACGAATCTTTGCCCGTCAAGGCTCAATCGGCAGGCGCGCCACCTGACCCTCGCGACCTGGTCATTGAAACCGAGGGAGTTGGACCGAAATACATGTACCTCTTGCACCTCTCGCTTCGGTCGGTGTCAGCTCCCAAACCTACCAACGCTAACATGACGCCACCCAACCCGTCCAAGAACACCAAGCTGGCCTGGAAGGGCTATTGGAGTTACAACAGGCTCACTGACGACTGGGCTGAATTTGGACTCAAGAACGACCGGGCGTTTGTTTTCCGACGAGTGCGCGGCTGGGGCATGAATTGAACGTAGGATATAGAGGTAATATGAACGGTAAAAAAGTATTGGGATATAGGAACAATAAAGCGGCTATATATAGCCAAACAGAAATGACAGATATGCTAGATTTGAATGAATTTGACATGATATCACGAGATAGAAAAGTTGTTGAATATCAGTAGAAGTAGAACACAGGTACTATACTTTGGGAGGTCTTGACAATCTGCCAAGCAGCCGGCTTATCGATAAGCAAAAAATTTCGGGGATCCGCAACTCCGCCGACAACAAAAGTTCCCCATCCCCAACTTGTCTTGCGACATGACGTTACGCCCTTAATCCCGTATCCTTCTCTCTAATACACCCTTACTCGAATTCACCATGCCGGAGAGGGTCCGTACCGTTTTTAATGACGAGGGCGACGCCGTCCCCGCCCCTAGCAAACCGTCGTCGCAAAAAGCCGAACAAGGCGACTCCGCACCCGTCACGAAGCGAAAGGTCCACAGCAAGGAAGACGACCACAAGCGGAAGAACAAGAAGCGGAAGCATGAGAATGGATTTATCGTGAAGGGGGACAAGCCCGAGAATCTCAACATGGAGGCACCCCCTCAGCCTGAGCAGAACGGAACCGGCCCCGGGTCGGACGACAAGCCAGCGATCAAGAAGCAGAAACAAGAAGAATCACAACCGCAGAAGCCAATGAAGGATGGAAAACGAAAAGATAAGCATCAGAAATCCAAAAACACCAATTTCACGCCGCTACGAGAAAAGGCGCAAGCGTTATACCAACAACGCAAGAACCTCCCTATCTTCCCTCATGGCGATGAGATCCGCGGCCACTTGCGCAAGAACGATGTGATGCTGTTGGTTGGTGAGACGGGTAGCGGAAAGAGTACACAGATTCCTCAGTTTCTGGTTAATGAGAAATGGTGTCGGACGGCTAAGACGGTTGTGCGGGACAGTGATGGTGCGGAGAAGGAGATTCCTGTTGGAGGGTGTATTGCCATCACGCAGCCTAGACGAGTGGCGGCGATTTCGCTGGCGAGACGTGTGGCAGAGGAAATGGGGACTCCGTTGGGAAATTCATCGCCTGCGAGTAAAGTTGGGTATTCGGTTCGGTTTGATACGTCGACGTCGCCGAGTACGCAGGTCAAATTTTTGACGGAGGGAATGCTGTTGCAGGAGATGCTGCATGATCCGTGGTTGACGAAGTATAGTGCTATTGTGGTGGATGAAGTGCACGAGCGTGGTGTCAATGTTGATCAGGTGCTGGGTTTTCTGAGGAACTTGGTGTCGGGGAAGAGGGAAGGACGGGGTGGTGTGCCTTTGAAGGTCGTGGTGATGAGTGCTACGGCGGATATGGAGAGTCTGATGGGCTTCTTCAAGGAAGGGTTCCAGGGTAGTCCCCGTGCGATTGAAGCAGCGAAGAAGGAGACAAATGGAGATTCGGCAGACCAGAAGAGTGAGGATGATATTGCTGTGTGCCATATCAAGGGACGTCAGTTCCCCGTCAAAACGATCTACTCTCCCGAACCAGTGCATGACTTTGTTGATGCGGCTCTCAAGGTCATCTTCCAGATCCATTACAAGGAGCCGTGCCCTGGTGACATCCTGGTCTTCCTGACTGGTCAAGAGACAGTGGAGGCCTTGGAGAACCTCGTCAACGAGTACGCAACCGGGATGGATCCGGCGCTGCCCAAGATCCAAGTACTCCCACTCTTCGCAGCGCTCCCTCAAGCAGCTCAACAGCGAGTGTTCGTCCCTGCTCCCCCACGGACCCGCAAGATCATCCTCGCTACAAACATCGCGGAAACCTCTGTGACAGTCTCAGGAGTGCGATTTGTGGTGGACTGCGGAAAGGCCAAGGTCAAGCAATTCCGCTCCCGTCTCGGACTAGACTCGTTGCTAGTCAAGCCCATCTCCAAGTCAGCCGCAATCCAGCGTAAGGGTCGTGCCGGTCGAGAAGCCCCAGGTCAATGCTACCGACTCTACACAGAGAAAGATTACCTAGCTCTGGACGAGGTCAACACGCCAGAGATCCTACGCTGCGACATCAGTCAAGCTCTGCTCAACATGAAAGCCCGTGGTGTGGACGACATTATGAACTTTCCCTTCCTGACACGGCCCCCGCGCGAGGCGCTGGAGAAGGCACTGCTCCAGCTTTTGAGCATTGAAGCCCTAGAGGAAACCGGCAAGATCAGCCAAATCGGATTGCAGATCGCCAAGCTACCTCTTACCCCGACACTGGGTCGTGTGCTCCTCGCAGCCTCAGAATACGGCCCAGAATGCTTACTAGATGTCATCGACATCATCTCCTGTCTCAGTGTCGAGAACATCTTCCTAAACATCACATCAGAGGAAAAGAAAGAAGAAGCCGAAGTAGCGCGCCGGGATCTCTACAGACGAGAGGGCGACCACCTCACCATGCTCGCTACAGTACAGGCCTACGCAGCAGAGAATACCGATAGAAAGGCATGGGCTGAGCGGCATCTGGTCTCCCACCGGGCCATGCAATCCGTAATGGTAAGACTACCCTCCATCCACTCTTTTTGGCAACCCACAACTAACAAGAAATTCATACAGGACGTCCGCAAACAACTCACAACCCAATGCCGCCAAGCCAAGCTTCTCCCCAACGACGCCCGTGGATCAGCCGCAAGCACATCCGTCCGCGACCCATCACCCATCCACATCCTGAAGAGTTTCCTGCGCGGGTTCTCGACGAACACGGCGCGTCTGGTGCCGGATGGTAGCTACCGCACGGTGGTGGGTAATCAGACGGTGGCGATCCATCCGTCTAGTGTGCTGTTTGGAAAGAAGGTCGAAGCGATCATGTATAATGAGTTTGTCTTTACGAATCGCAGTTATGCGCGGGGTGTGAGTGCGGTGCAGATGGATTGGGTGGGGGAGGCGTTGGCTGGGTAGATTCTCTTATGAATAGACAGTAAGGAGTGTGGTTTATATTAGATGGATAGATAGATAGTTGGATATACCCAAAGCATACTTGTGAAGAATATTAGAAGCAATATTTGGATACCCTCTACTTTGCTACAACGAACCATGCCATCTTCTCAGAGAAAGACCTCCGACACATACCACAGCACCGCTACCTCCTCAGCGTACAATGCACAACAGCTTCACGAACACCATCATCCTTCCTACTCTCACCAAAGACAAAGACTGTCGTTCTGCGTCTAGTATAGCACTCAATAGCGCTATCTCTACCAACCAACCTTCATAAACTACTCTTGTCTACAATGGTAGGCAGATAAACCCCGGATGCCCGACGGTCAATAACCCATCTACAAAAACACTAACACTATTTCAATCCCGCTTCATGCAGACTAATCTCCTCTCCCAATCAAATGAATTCCTTCTGATGTTCCAAGCCTCGATATACAGCATACATAGATAGAAGATCCTTCCCACAACTGTATACTTTAACACTACCAAAGTACTGTCCCTCCTGTCCTAGGCGTCATCTCCACCGAGAATATGGCCGTCACGGAAGTTGAACCGTGCCATCCCGTCCCCACATCCATACTTCCGTGTCTACTGGATTTACTATCTCACCCTCACCATCACTACCCCAAATTGCGATTGTACAGTAGACGGATAGATAGAAAGATAATCTATAGTAGATCACCTCTATCCCGTCCTTTCCCGCCCTCCTCTCCCCGAGCCGTTGAGTTAGGGGTACAGCGAAAACGGTTGAGCGGCGATACGCCTCACGGGTGTCGATCCTCTCCCTGGGGGATTCCCGGAGTATACCAACTTTGGTTGTGGATGTTATACACTGATAGAAGTCATGATAATGTATTGAAATTATGATTTAGACTTTTAATTTATCGATACTATTATCTTTCTCAGCTATGCTACTAACTGGAAAAGGGTAATATTGTGAGTAGAATGTACACCTTCGGTATATGGAGCTACCGTATCGTATCTACCTAGGCCATCACTTAGATAAATACCGTGGGTACTCAGTTCTCGGCTTATACATGCATACTTCATCGACGGGAAAAAAAAAAAAAAAAAAAAAA